TCTTTCTCAATTTGTTTCGTATCTTTTACAGTCTCTTAAAATCCATTCCTTGGCAGTTAGATTTTCTGCTTCGTGGACAGTGGGGATGACCCCCCCCCCAAAAAAAAAAAAAAACATGATATGAATGATGATGAATGAATAATATATGATAATAATGATGATACTAATAACAATAAAAATCATACAATGGTGATGATGATGATAATGATAATAATATGATATAATAATAATAATGATAACAATGATAATGATAATAATAATAATGATAAGGATAATAATTGATGATAATAATTATAACAATACCACTACTAATATAATAATGATAATAATAATAATAATAATATAATGATAATTATAATAATAACAATAATGATAATAATAATAATAATGATAATAATAATGATAAAATTGAAAAATAATAATGATAATAAATAAATATGATATATAATAATTATATATATGATAATAATAATGATAATGATAATAACAATAATGATAATAATGATAATAACAATAATAATAATAATGATAATATAATAAGGGGGGACACAAGTGGATACACGTAATTTGAAATGATAATGGGAATAATAGTAATGATAAGAATGATAATGATAATAGTAGTAATGATAATGATAGCAATAAAATGATTATAATCATAATAGTAATAAAGATAATAACAATGATAATGATAAGAGCAACAATAATGATAAAAATAACATAATGATAATAATAGTAATAATAATAATGATAATAATAAGGATAATAATAATGATGATAACAGTGATGATGGTGACAATAATATCGATGATGATGATGAATAACAGTAATGTAACAATAATAATGCATAATAATAATAATAGTAACAATAATGACAGAAAAGATAATGATAACATTTATGATGATTATTATGATGATGATGAAATAGTGATAATAATGATGACAATGGTAGTAATTATAATAATGATAATGAAATGATAATATAATTATAGCAATAATAATGATAATGATTATATGATATAACAATATTTATAGTAATATAATGATATGATAATAAAGATAATGATGATAATAACAGGGGAACGAGAAGGACGATGACGAGGAATAGGAGGAACAAGGAAAAGAAAAAGTAGAAGGGACGAATCAGAAAAAAAGAAGAGAGGAAAAAATGAAAAAGTGGAGGGAGAAGAAGAGAAAGAAAGTATAGGAAAGAGAAAAATAAAATCAATATAAATGTGAACAAAGCGCGGCGGATGATAAGGAGAAGAAGAAGAAAAAGAAAGAAATACAGATAAGACAGAAAAAAAGAATGATAGGAGCGAAAAAAAGAAAGAAAAAAAAGAGAATAGAAGAAGAAAGAAAGAAATTAAAACAAAAACAAGAAGAAAGAAAGAAAGAAAAAAAGAGAAAAACAAAGAAAACAAGAAGAAAAGAGAATGAAGAAGAAGAAAGAAAGAAATTAAAACAAAAACAAGAAGAAAGAAAGGAAGAAAAGAAAAAAAGAGAAAAACAAAAACAAACAAGAAGAAAAGACAATATTAAGAAGAGAATAAAAAAAAGAAAAGTGGAACAACTCTATCTCTTTCGGGTGTGATAGATGGTGTCTGTTTTAACATGCGACTATAATGGCTCCGTTTTCTTCGTTAATTGTTGTTCCATGGCAGGGGGTACTGCCTTCCATTTACTGGCCCCTTTTTTAACTCCTTTTTTATACGTTTTGGGGTAATTGATGAAGTTATGTTGGGCAGAATATTTCGGGGGGAAAATATTGCCTTTTAAGTTTTGGGTTTTTGGGTTTTATTTAATGTGCATTTTTGGGTTTTTGATAAAAGGGGATGTTTTATAGGTTTGTTTATACGGTATGTTCGATATATTTTCTGATTCTGGTTTGGTAGGAATGAGAGGAGAGAGAAGAAGAGAGAGGAAGAGAGAGAGAGAGAGAGAGAGAGAGAGAGAGAGAGAGAGAGAGAGAGAGAGAGAGAGAGAGAGAGAGAGAGAGAGAGAGACAGAGACAGACAGACAGACAGACAGCTAGAGACAGAGAGAGACAGAGACAGAAAGAGACAGACAGACAGAAAGCAGAGACAGACAGAGACAGGCAGAGAGAGAGAGAAGGAGGAAAGAGAGAGACAGAAATAAACAAACAGACAGACGGAAACAAACAGAAACAGACAGAGACAAACACAGACACAGAAAGAGAGAGAAAATTTCCAAATTTCGAAAGCATATTTATGGCCCTGGAATCGCAGTGATATTTCACGAGGAGGAACGCGTCAAACACACACAAACACACACTTACAGTCACGCTAACACACCCGAACCCAGACACCCGTATATAAACACCAATCACAAACACTAAAACACATGTTCCCACAAATATTATCAACAAACACACCTACACATAAACACACGTTTCCACAAATATAAACAATAAACACACTTTTACACATAAAGGCACAAAAAAAAAATAAAAAGAAACACACGCAAAACACATATATACAAGCACACACACACACACACATATACACACACACGTACAAACACACAGTCAAACCCCCATACACTTTTTATCCCAATACCCGCTCCCCTACCCTACACCCCTCCTTACCCCTCCCCATCTCCCCTACCCCCCCCTTCTTAACCCACCATCCCCTCCCCACCCTTACCACACCCCTCCTTATCCCTCCCCATCTCCCCTACCCCCCTCTTTCTTAACCCACCACCCCCTCCCCACCCCCCACCACACCCCTCCCCGCCTCCCCACCCCTACCACACACCCTCTGATTAATCGCCGAAATATTCATAACGTAATATCCCCCCCACCCCTCCCTCCACCGTCTTTAACCCCCCCCCCCCCTTACATATAGCGACCCTCTACACATAGCGGCCAGGTCCATAGGGTCTATATTCTAGGCCTATGATGATAAATACGCGAAAAAATGACGTCATTATTGATAATTGAAGTCGGGGCATTTAAATCACCTCTTTGTGCCTCGTGGGGTTTGGCCTCAACCCACGTCGCTCCAGCGCTGGCATTTAGGGCGTCAGGTATGGATTGGGGCGAGGGTGGGGGCGGGGGATTAGGGGAGAGGGTGGGGAGGTTGAGGGAGGGGAAGGGGGGAGTGATTGCGTGGAAGGGGTGAGAGGTTGGGGGAGGTATGGATTGGGGGCGAGGTTGGGGGTGGGGAAAAGAGGTGAGGGAAGGGGCGGGACTGGGGGAAGAGGCGGGTTGGGAGAGGGGTGAGGGAAGGGGTAGGGAGGTTGAAGGAGGGGGAGGGGAGTGATTGGGTGGAAGTGTTGAGGAGTTGGGGGAGGTATGGATTGGGGGGTGGGGAAGGGAGGGGGTGGGAGGAGGCGTAACTGGTTAGAGTTGCGGATGTTGGGCGGAGGTATAGACTTGGGGTTGGGGTTAGGGGTGGGGAGCGGGGAAAGAGGGAAGATGGGATGAGGATATGAGGGTGGTTGGGGAGGGAGGAGGAGGGAGGGGTTGGGGAGTTGGCTGGGGGAGCGAGAAAGGGTTGAGGTTCCGGGAGTTTATTAGGGGGGGGGGAGTTAGGGAGAAAAGAAAGAACGGAATTATAGGGTTGGTTAGGGAGGAAGGGGTTGAAATTGTAAGGGGGGGAAAGGTGGGGTCAAAGTTGTTGTGGGGTTGGGAAAATCTGTTGAGGTTGGAGAGGAGTGAAGAAGGAAGAAGAAGGGAGGGAGGGTGGAGGAAGAGGTTTGTATGGGGTTAGAACGAGAGGATGAGGCTTAGGGTTGTAGGGAGGAAGGTGTTGTGAGGTTAGGAGGTAAATGAGCGCTGGAAAAAAGAAAGAAAAAAATCGTTGTTGTGTATTAAATATGAAAAGGAAAGGGAAAATCAGCCACATGATATGAAGAAAACAAACGTTCATTTTCATTATCCTATTGTGGATGTTTTTCATTTTTCTTTTTTTTTCGTGTACTCATTATTGTTTTATTTTTCACGGTGTCATAAGGTTCCTGAAGACTTTTCAAAGAATTAAATTAAGGGAAATTAAGGTTAAATGCGGGGATGGGGGGTATAGGAGAAGGAAGGGGGGGGGGTAAGCAGGAATAAAGCAAAGAGCAAAGCGTTCTGTGAGGTTTATTAAGTTTTCACAAAATTCGGGCGTGGTAATTCGGATGGGCGCGTGGGAAGGATCTGACGGCTAAGTAAACCTCGTGCATGAGAGAGAAATCATGCAGTCGGCTGACTTTTGCGGAAGGAATTCAAATAATGGGGTTACCTGAGCTCAAGGACCTGGCAATATGAATGAACTGGTTGGTATGTCGACGTAAAGTTTTATTTCCCCGAAAAAAAAGGTGTTGGTGTCTTATATATTCAGAGGTGAAGGAAAGAGTAAAGAATAAAGTGAATTTTATCAGTCACACTCTCGTGATATCAGTAGAATTGAGAATAAAAGTCTTGTTATATATACAAAAAAGTGACATTTTAAACTTCCGTGGTTTTCAGGGCGACGGCGGTGCCAGGCGTGTCGGTACAACAGTTTGGTCCCGCGGTGCCAATCCTGGGCAGCGGTCGTTGCCGGGATGCTGGGTAGTCCTTCAGTGTCCGCCTGGACGGTAGCGGAGGAAGTAGAAGTATAGCATTCCTGGTGAAGTGTTCCCGTGAGAGACGTGTTTCTGTTCCCAAATGAGCTTTTTTGGAAAAGTTGGAAGAGTTTGGTCATTCCTAATATTAACGTTGTGTTTTATATAGTGTTCTTTGGATGAACGTGTGTGAAAGATAATTTGACGATACGATATTACTTTCGGAATGTCAAAAGTTTTTGTAACATAAATATCCATATATAGATAAACCATGTGCTAACAACGATAAAATATATCCAAAATCAAAAGAAAAGAAGAAAATAATAATGGAACAAAGATAAGATAAAAAAAAAAACATAAACCAAACAGATAAAAAATAATAATAAACCAGTGACATTAAGACTCAGAAAGATAGAAAGAAAAAAAACATAAAATAAATTAGAAACACAAAA